GCAGGATATAAACGTTCCTTAACAACGTGTGTCGATACATGGGCGATGACGCGGAACTGCCAGTTTACGTGTCCGAACTCCGAGTATAATATCAGACATTCCGTTCGCCTCGCGTCAACACACGGTGTCGTTAACACACCGACCTTCGGCCCGTTCTAAAAGAGAACATTTCTCACTTGGAAATCCCTTATTCTTTTTTTTTCTCCACAGCCGAGGTCACAAAAGACAATTCCCGATACACAAATGCGCGTATCCGTTTATTTAGATTTATTGCGAGAGACAACTCGGTGATTCGATCTGCTCGAAGATCGTGAGATCGAAATTCCCAATTTTCGAGCTGTGTTTTCCCAGAAAAAAAAGATCTCTTTCTCAAACAATATGATAATTCGCCCACCCCTATTTATCAAAGGATCTCGACTCTCCGTGAACTTCGATCTTCTTCGACGATTCTTCGACGAAACGCGAGAGGAACGCGTTTCTCGAAATCGCGTTTTATCGATATGTTGAACGCGTGTTGGTTCGCGCGTCTCGTCGGGCATTTTATTTATTTTTTTTGTCACGTCTACATTACCACCGCTGTGTCCCGATCGCCGGTCTCTGCCTCTTTGGAGGAAAGGTCGAGCATTTCCCGGCTCCGGCAATCAAGCTGGCAAAAACACGCGGCAGGCAGAAATGCCTTAATGTCACGATATAACCAATGTTTATCCCCCATGCGAACGGGATGAATATTCGTCGTGACCCGCTGAACTCGCGTCTGATCCGCCGACGTGACGTTACGTCGTAACATCGTTCGAAACGCACGAGATTCTTTACGGCAAACACATCACGGCAACGTGTACCGGTTCAAAAGCAAAATCTGCGACTCGATTCAAGTGGAATAAACCGACCGACCGACTCCCGCGAAATAGGTTAACGAGCGATATCCGAAAAGAATTCTCATTTACCGAAATCTCGGAACGTGAGAAATCAGCTGTATCGAATTAAATCAGTTGTAAAAGTGTTTTATCAATAAAAATACCTAAACATACACATATTCTATCAAACGTTCGTCTCGAAACGTCGTCCGCTCAATAATATGCGAGAAACGTGCCATTGGTGCTCTTTTTTTTTTTAAATTCGTCGAAAACAAAAATTGGCGACGTTACGCAAGTCATCTTTTTTTCCCGTCCGCGTCATTACGGCGTGTAATTTCAAGAGAAATTTCGAAAAATTCATTGTACACGCTCGCTTTCGTTCGGCGGAACTCTTCGTACAATGTATCATTATTTCACTTTCTTCAGGCGTGTGCGCAAGAATCTTTTAAGTACCAACATTGTTTCAAAAATACACAGAAACCTGTTATTGCAATCTGAGATAGTCGACCGAATGAATATCGACACACAACACACAATCTTCCGGCTACATGATCTATGATACTAAAAAAAGTTGCAAATGTTCCGCGAGTTTTGCGAATTTACTTCCTACAGTGCTACTCCGTCACAGAAATGTCAAACAGTCGCGCACGTGCTCGCGCAAGCCGCGCACGTATTCTCTATAAATATATGCCATTCCGTCATTGTTAAGAGAAAGTATTGTTGCGACAACAATAAGTTGTGGAATAATTATTTTTTTTTTTTGGTTTTTATTCCGCGCGTACTATACTTACATTTCGTATTTTCCGATTGGTCGTCGGAGAATTGTTTTGATCTGCGCGCATGGTGCGTTGAAAAAAAATTAAAAATAAATAGAGATAAAAAATTAGAAATAATAGTTCGCCGAAAATATCCAGACGAAAACAAATCGAAAAAAATGCACGCGAATGCAAATTTATCGAGAATAATTTATTTATTCATCGAATTCTCGAGCGTGTTACTTACATATGAAATTCATCATGCCTCTGCGAATCCGCGCGACATAATTGGTACTGACAAGTCTCGTTACAAGCGTCATTGGACGGTTAACAGTCTTGTTATTAGCGTCACTGAATAGGTAAAAACCACAGTTGCTGCAGTGCTCGTAATGACACATCGCCGAGATGAGACTACTCTCATGCAAATGATTAACTTTTCAGATTACATTGTCAGAAGGGAATGTCGAGTGAATTAATGATTTCGTTGTATCTTATTCTAATTAATCGCGTGATGCGATTGTTCCTGGTATACACCGACGATGACTTGTATATACGTTCTACCGGTATTTTTCATAATCAATTATGCAGGCGAAGAGGCGTCGTCGTCGTCGTCACGTGTTCCGCTCGCGGAACCGGATCTAAACTTTATTTCTTGCCCAACGTGATCGAACACAATGCTATCGAGAAGTTAATCATTCGTTCGCGCGAGAAAGAAAAAGTTGAAGTTCTTAATATATATTCGCGCATGTATTGTTTTTTATTCTACGGACTTTATACAATCCAGTTTAACTACGAAATTTAATTAAACTCGACAATGATATTTTAGGCGCTAAAAAATATAAAATTTTAAAAATAATTTAAAGTTAAAAACTCAATCTCGCGCGCGCATATCATAAAAAAGATGATCCTAGACATGAAAGCGCATATTGTGAAAAATGTGAAACAATTTAAATTTTCTAAGAAGACGAATTGTTCGGCAAACGGTTTCTTCGTGATAAAACGTGGCAAAAAAAAAACAACTGATACCACATTTTACATCTTCGATACGTCTAATCGAATTACATGCAAACCTAACAATTGCAATAATACTGATATTACATAACAGATTCGGAGCTGCAAGTAGACTTACAATCGCTCCGCATCGGTCCACCGACATCTCGCTTAGCGGCGCGCGTTTTAATCGAACACGATTATTCGCGCGCGCGAAGCGATATCGAAGCGTAGATCGCGGATATATTCGCTTCTAATGCATGTGCGCGTTTAGAGCCGCACGTTCCATCGGACTGCGATCACGCGCCAAATTGTGCAATACGCTAATATTTTTCTTTTTCCCAGCGAAGGACCGCGCGCGTTCGCTCAGAGTGTCCGTTGTTCGAACGCAACACGATGACAACGACGCGACAGCCGTCCCGTTATCTAACGGCGTTGCGGGAAAATCTTACGTGAGATGTGCACGTTGCGTCATCCCTTCGCGCGGAATCGACAGATTCAATATATATTATATAAAAGCGCGCGCGCTTGCACACGATAGATAGGATAGGTATAACACGTTCCGCTAAATTAATCGCGAGAGGCGCGAGCCACAACATCGCTACCGTGCATTATCTCTCGCTTACTGATGATTGACGTTACGACAAGTAGCACTTTTTGAGGTTTTCCTCAAATCGTAGGGAAAGTGTAAACCTGATTCTTAAACACACGATCTCACACCGAAAGCCTCTCGGTAAATTCTCGAGGAAATGTTTTCCTCTTTCACCTTTGTAGAATTTATTACCATGCTTGTGCTTAGATATTTTACATAAAATAGCTATCTTAGAGAGTATTTCTTTAAAAATACGTGAAAGAGAAATATCACAAAATTGCTCTCTTACCATGGGAAAAATGATATCGTTGAAGTTTCAAACGCCGAAAAAATATACCTCGCTTCTATCAAGCAGAAACGCTAAACAAACACTTTTACCACATTATCTCATGTGTATAGTTATAGAAAATTGATATAATATATATCTCACGTCGAAACACTCTTCTCTTCATGCACCAACCTGCATAAACGAGAAGTATACAACTTCCAAAGAGTAAAAGTCTTGTCTTGTTACGTGTCAAGAGATATGGCGAAATTTATTCACTTTGTTGCAAAAGAACGTCCCGGAACGTCGTGGTCGAAATAAATTTGTTCGCTCGACGAATGTTCCGAACCTCAAACGACGTGAGAAATAAGAGATCTGGTACTTACCATCGATGAATTATTGACATTCGATCGATTAATCGAAGATACACCGGGTCCAAAAACCAAAGAGTAATTAAGTTCGCATAAACCGAAAATTTACAATTCACAAGTGTGTTTGCGACTTACCGGTTGCTCGTTACCGCAAGTTGCGCGAAAGAACTTGTTTCTCCTGTTCACTCATTAACGGACGACAAATGATCGCGGGTGTAAAAGGGTTAATGTTCCGTCATATTCCATCCATGACGATGCGACGCAAGAAGCTGTTCGACCCGTTCGCAATTTCCGCTCGTGATAGATCGTGGAAATATTAGAATGCCTACTGGTTGGTTAACGATTGGCGGTTTTTCGGCCTCGGAGCATTAACCTGCAAAAGTAGCAGCAGGATAGCCTTGTCACAATATTTCACCGGGAAAAACGCAGCCGCGTCGAGGCGCAAAGAGTTCCGTGTCCTTGCGGAGGATCGCTCACGTCAGTCATTATTACCGTGATTTTCAGAATGCACTTAGTGCCGCAACCCCGCGGTTGCAAAATCGCGCGATTGCGCCAATACTTAAAGCGTATACACACAACACAATAAAGCCCGTTAAAGGTCTCCGCGCGACCGCGAAGCGATATGGCCGGCTTGTCCGTCAATTATCGAAACGAGATATTAATCCGCGCGGTTTTAAACTTCTGACTTCTTACGCAAGTACAAAGAAATGTACGCGTGTGTTAAATTTATTATAATTTACTGCGTTCGCGCAAGGCGTCGGAGCGCTTCTCACACGAAGAACAAAAAAATCCGCAGACATCTCATTAGATTTCTATTAGATATCGCACGGAGCCGTGAATGTCCATCTAAAGAGGTTTTTGTTCTGCGTGGATCTTTTATCTCGGAAAAGTTGTGTGTTGATCAATGCAGTTCAGTTTCGGTTTTACATCTCCGACGTTTCCGAGAAAAATTTCATAGTAAGTACGTAGCTATTCGAAAGAGAAAAGAGAAAAATTCGCTACGAAAAATCGTCTGGTGCGATTGAAAAATTCGAAAAATATGAAAAAATATATACGTCGTTGCCGTATTATCAAATAGTACGTGCAGAGGAAAACGTCCGCGAACATTCATAAATCGTCGACAAAGGCTTCTCCCGACTTTACTCCGTCCGGAGTCGCTCCGCGAGTTATTGTTTCTTGTTACGGTCGCGACACCGGTGAGGGCGTTAGCGTGCGGTGAAGGTAGTCGCTTTTAGATCTCTCTCCATAACCTTAATTTTCGGAAGTAATTGTCTTCTTATCGAAAAACACAGAAAATTGATGCGAGAAGCAAGATGAATTTTGTTGGGAGACAATGTTTGAGGATTTTACAGAGCGACGTTAAACCACAAACGCGTTTGTCGCGTAGATTTCTCAGTTTTAAAAGTGCCATATCGCTGGAGAATTTGTATCCGGGAAGCAAGCAGAATCTGTACACTCCAACCTTTGTTAGTGCGCAATATTCGTTAAGAACTACCAGCACAGTAAATACACGTTGCTGTGAATCTTATTTTGTGACATTTTTATTTATTGTGTATTGACGTCGCAATACATAACCCGACTAATAATTTGTTACTTTTGCTTATCAGGTACCTGATCCCAAAGCAAAATTTACTGGTTACATACCTATGGACAAAGTGCGAGTCACATATAGTGCCAGCAGTGGTCCAGGTGGACAAAATGTGAACTGTGTTAACACCAAAGTGGATCTGAGGTTTGAGGTGAGCACCGCTACTTGGCTCACAGAAGAAATAAGAACCAAGTTACTAGAACAAGTGAGTAACTTGCTTTTGAAATTGTAAATTATTAATCAACTTAAGATAATGTAATTAAAGATAATGAAATTTCTATACACGGAGAAGGGAAAAAGTCTCATAACTGTAAACTTGTTGTTTCAGTGTAAAAATAAGATAAATAAGGACGGTTATCTGGTAATCAAGTCAGACCTAACGCGATCACAGCATTTGAATTTAGCAGATGCTCTTGAGAAATTGAGAACACTGATACGAGCAACTCTGGTAACTCCACCTGAACCATCACCCGAATCTGAAGAGAGAAAGCGAAAGAATCTGCTGAGAGCTGCTAGAGAAAGATTGCACGAGAAGAGAAGTCGTTCGCAACTCAAACAAAGCAGACAAGATCCCACAGCTGATTTTTAAATCAATTAATCTAGATATATGTAAACAATTAACTTATCTAAGAACACTGTATAGTATGCTTGAACTATAATAACACAATAAAAAAAAAAAAATTTAATTTAATATCTCTAGCTAATTAGAAATCCGAGTATTTGCTAAATATTGTGAGAAAATATATATAAGAGTGTTTGAATTGCGCTGATGTTGGCGCCGTATTGATGGTTTAGTTCCACTTACATCCGTCTTAATTGCGACGGCGCCACAGTCGTCGCGAAGTGTCAAATGTGTCAAGCTGACCGAGTGTGCGTCCATGTTCCTTATCCGCTAGATAATAATTTTTTCCGGTTAAAACACGATCTCGAGGATGATCGCCGAAGACGTGTCACGCGAACAGCAACGCGATCATTGACGCTGCTCGTACGTCCTTTTGCGCATTACATTAGATATCGCGTCGTCGTGTGTCACTTTTGTATTCACGGAAACACGATCGACAGAATGTCGTTGGACGCGATATCGTTGATTGAAGGCTTCGCCGTACACCCGAACGACTGGTATTCTCCGGTGGATCGCGTCGATTCCGTGCGCTGAGTCATATTTAATTAATACACACACGCACAGTGTGTTGCGCAGCAGACGAGCAACACACATGCCGATGACATCGACGCGAACGCTCAGTTATGACGCTTACACGTAATTGTCAACGAAGAAAAACGACAACACTCGGCCAACGAAAGCAACACTATCACAGCTGTCACGCTACGTAAGAAAAAAAAACGATATTATTTACTTGCTCAGCAGAAGAAAGCGCAGACATGGTGCGCGTGATAACGGTGCACAACTTCCTGGGGCAGAATGTCACCCAGATCGAGGAGCCCACGGCTACGTGCACGGCCACGACCAACCAGTCGCGCGAGATGCTCCTGCTTGCGCTGCCCACGCATTGCGTGGAGGTGTGGGAGCTGATGAGCTCGGATGTCAAACTTTATACCGTTTTTCCCACAGTGGACATGATCAATCAAATGGCACATTGCGCCAAGGGGGATTATGTTGTCACGCTGGAATCAAAATATCTCAGAGACACCGTGAGCAATAATCACGCGAACAGAGTCACATCTAATTTTGTAAGGATTTACGTGAACTGGGCCGCGGTGAAGGACCAGAGCCAGCCGATGCGGGCCAGGATCGCCGGCCGCGTCACGCCGAGTTTAAATCGACCGTTGAACAGTCTGGAGATGATAGAGCTACCTCTGAGCGTACAGCCCACGTTGATCGCTTGCTGCCAGAACACCGGCAATCTGCTGGTGGCCTCGGAGAACAGCGCCATTCTGCACGAGTTCAAGATCGAAACTCAACAAGTATCAAAAATGAAGTTCATCGACTTCGAGCCCAGACCCTGGTCGCTCGGATTCACATTCGCACCTACGCACATGGAGATCGTGGAGGATTTTATAGCAATCATGGATAGCACAAATTTATCGGTTTTCCGTCTCACGAATTCGATGTACGAGGATATCGACCAACTTAGCTCTTTAGCTTCCACAAATTCTTCTTCTGTCGACAAGACGTCCATATCCACGGACTCGTCTCTCGTAGAAAATAGCCTTGGAAATGAAGACGTGTTGCCGCAAAGCGCGAACACAAAGCACAAATCCGTAGATCAAGACTGTCAGTCTGTGACTCTCGAAAATATCGACACGGTAGCGACAAGTAACGCGAAACCTAGAGATAAGAAACACAAAAGCACAAAGAGAACCATATGGAGCAAGTTAGAAATAAACGATCTCAACAAAACAAAGTCGAGTAGCAATAAGAATTACATAGACTGGGAACGTTTGATATACAACGAGAAAGATGAGATGCAGAGGCTAATCGGGCAGGGAGTTGTTGATCCCGCCTCGCAACAGTTAACGGTGAGTTTTCCGTCGATAAGTCTAGAAAGAGCCGGACCGGGACACGCCGTCAGTCCCTTCACGTTGAATTCGGCCGACGTGAGAATCTTCATCAAAACAACCTCGCCCGATGTCGGCTGGTCGGAGAATTACGCGATAAAAAATTTACTATGTCTACAAATTAACGCCGGTGACAATAATGTCAAAGTAGATGGAATTCTAGAAGTTTTCAGATCTCTGGTGTTGAAGCCGTTGTACGTGAAAAAGGAATGCAACACCACGGGTGTGAAGAAGTCTATGCTGAAGTCCGACAGATACAAACACCTACAGGGTGTAAGTTGCTTTGTTTGCACCACGCAGGAAGGATATCTGTACCACTTCTCGGCAACGAGCAACGGTTCTCTGGACGCGACATGTCTGACCACTTATCCGTTCACCGCGCCTGTTCACCAAGTAGCGTTAGAGCACACGATACTTCACGCGTTAACTGAGGCTGGTCTCGAGTCCTACACGTTACGTCTTTCTCATCATATCGCGAAGCTGTCAAACTGCACTGACAGCGTTAAGATGACTTGTCCCAGTGTTACAGAGCCGGTGAGTCTGATCGGCCTGAGACCGTTTCTGGGAATACAAAGACTGTTGCACACGAGAAGCTACATAGTTCTGCTGGCCAAGGCGGACTGTTCGTGGACCATGTACTCTTTAAATCTCCCGAAGCTCGAGAATGTTTACTTCGACATCTTGAATGCAGCGAAGAATCACAAATCCTCCAGTCCGAGCACCTATCGACACTTGCTGGAAGAGGCGCACGCGTTGATACGCTTGGCGAAGGACGTGTCCTACAATAACGGTCAGCACAACGAGGAATTCGACGATGCGACGCACAAAAATGATCTCAAGTTGAAGAATCTCTATAATCAATCCTGCGCGCTGCTCGCGGACTATTACATACGATCAGAAATTGAGTCGGATTGGGATTTGTGTATTCCCTATTATAAGATGTCTGGGTTGAAGCCTTCGGAGGTGTTGTCGAGGAAATCTAGTCAAGATGCGCCAGGACTCCTGACGTATCTAACCGACGCATTGCTCACGATGAAAAGCGGATCCGAGGCGGACGCGCTGTTCCAAGGGTACAACATTATAGAAATTATTTGCAAGCTGGAGAAAGTAGATCTGTTGAAATTGATTTTTGGCAGTCCGGTGCTGAGGGAATACGCAACCGAGAAGTTGATAAGTCTTCTTCTGACGCACGAGACTGACGACACCGTTAAACTCGCCCTGGCGCTGTTGTACATTCAGGCGGACAAGCAGGAACAGGCGGAAAAGGCGTTAGAGCCGGTTTCTGTGCAATGTATCAAGCAGATCGTTTTGGAGCGCTGGGAATTGCTGTTCGACGTGACCGCGGTGAAGAAGAGAAGTCCCATAATACCGACCTTCTCGGATTTTGCTGGTATCTTAATGCTCATGAAGAACGTCACCTTCGCGGACATGCTGATACAGATAATAGAGGATGAGGGCGCGTTGTCGTTGCACCAGATCATACAAGTGTTCTTGGAATATTTGCCGTCGCGGGTCGGCAGAGACGGGCACAACGCGGCTGCCACGTTGCAGGTATTTCTCGAGAAGTATCTGCACAATTACTTAAGCTCGAAAACAATGATGGACTGGCCGCCGATTATAAATAAAAATCAGATACGCTCGGACTTCGCTCTCGTCGAGGCCTTCAAGCTGTTGGTACGTTCGTACTTAGGCAAATTAACTCAAACAAAAGTTTATAAGACTGAGACCAAAGAGGATCAAGAGGAGAACGACAAGGAATACTTTATGTTCGCCAAGTATCGACCGAGCTACTTGAACAAGATGCCACCGTACGCCAAAGATTACCAAAGAATTTTTAACACGAGCGATTTTAAGGACTTGGAGAAGGACTTTGCGTCCGAATCCGAAAAGACTATACCCAAGGAACTGTTTAGACTGCAATCCGTATTGTCGTGCGAATTTCTGCCGGTCGAGTGTTTGCACGAGGTCAAGCAGTTCCTCGAAACGCAAAACATCGATGGAAGCTTATCTCTCAAGACATTATGCATTCACAATACCGAAGAAGTAACGACGCTTTTGATGGACAATTGCCCGCAGGCTGTAGTACAATACGCGAAGGTATTTTTCAAGGCGCGCATATTAATTTTTTTTTTTTTTTTTTTAGCATATCACTTATATATCATTCTCTCTATTTGTTTCAGGACAAATATACGAAAGATACAGAGTGGAAATACCTCATTGAGTTAACACGAGATAAAATCACCGCGTCAGCGTCGCAAACGGAACTTCAGGTCTTGTACACGCAAATTATGAAAGGTAAGATTATACGTAACACATTTAATTACAAACAATTAATAATTTTTTCACAATTTTTCACAGAAATCTTGAATTACTTGCCGCACGCCTTGCCTATGAAGAGTCTGCATCGCATATTGCCTCGCGACGATATGGCGACGTTTCAAAGATGCACCGAGATGTGCAATGAAATCATGCACGCGGATCACGTAAAGTCACTGATAATGGAAACCGGGCAGCAACTTTTGACAACGTTGAAGTTGTGAAGATAAGTTTCCATTTAAATATCACATTTACTTACTAGCTAATTTCTAGACGAGTGATAATTCAGGAGTGTGACGAATATAAAAATTCCGATATCCTTCACGTTTTAATAATGTTACAAATATCGGAGAGAGACTTTTCATGCACACACACACACACACACACATACACTCTCTTGTATTCGCAAATTTAACCGTTTCTACAAAAGTTTCAGACGTATGTTCCTGATCGCTACAGTAACATAAACCGATGTTCGTTAGTGAATAGAAAATTGTGCTAATTGTGCACGCATTTTTATCGACTAGATAACTTTCATTAATTATAAAAATATTTCGAAAAGACAAATACTAAAAATTCATCTATATTATAATTGACTGTTGAATTGTTCTATATAGATATATTATATTGCGACTAAAAATGTGAAATCTGTTCCGAAGCAAGTGTAACGCAATAAATTAAAATGCGCAAAAGTTACTATAAAATAATATATATATATATGTATGTATATGTATCAAAAAAAACTATAAAAACTCAAAGTGCAACGTTTTGCTCTCACGCGAGGAAAACGTTTCGTACTTTAATTGATTGCATTTTAAAGAGCAATCGTACAATACTAAAAAAAAAAAACAAACGCCAGACAAGAGTCGCGCCGCGAGACTCTTGTTGCAGATATCAAAATCAAAGTATTTCTGCTTTGGGACAGAGATGTGTTTTTAGGAAAATGAATTTTACTAAAATAGTTTTTATCAAATATATTTGTTGATCATAACAAGTAGGTTTTACGTAACCGATTTTTGAGTGTTACAAATCATGTAACTTTGATGTGCCTTTAGGAATGATTTCTCTTTATTACAAATCTAATTATGTTATATAATTAATGAATAATATTTATAATTCATTATAAAAATAAATATATACACGGTATACAGCAGTTGTTTTTTTTACGTATACTTACCTTGTTATATGTATACTTCGATCGTATACAATTGTTATTCTTAACAGAGTGTAAATAATTAGCAGTAAATGTATACGTATTAACATAAAAATCTTATTTATATATTTATAAATCTATATATATATATTTATAGATCTTCCTCTCATAATTACAAAAACAATGACATTAAACGTATAAATAAAAATAGTAACAAATTTTGAATATAACATGTTTTATCCCCTTGAAAAATTCTGTGTATGTAAAGATACCGTAACTTATATATTTAACACTCAAGAGATTTTATCATAAATATACAATCATTTATATTCTCAAAAACAAAATTATATATATATATATGTATATATAATTCGTATATATATATTCGAAACATCAAAACTTGAAATTAGTGAAAAGTCACTGTTATAAAATAAAGCGCAATAACTTCGAGAAAATATTCTGCATATACGTATTTTGTGTTTGATTATCGAAAATATTTTCAAATACTTTGGATAATCACAACTTGTGCTAGAATATCGTGAAACAAAAATGTTTGCTATTGTTTTTATTGATTACCTGTACACCCCAAATAATCTACACAACGATAAATCTTTATGCGATCACTGCGACGTGTTTGCGTTTGACTCACATGATCTCAAATTCTTTATTTAAGGTTGCCAGATCCCTAAAACAATAAGCAGTGTTATATAAACAGTGTGTCACAAGCAATTAATGTTCTGGAAATGTGAATTGCAAAACATATATGAATTATTACCTCTCCTCTACGGCTTGTATCAAATCATGTTTATGCATCAATGACAAAACTAATCTTAATGTTGACCAAATGGTATTTGACATAGCTTTCGGAGGTATACTGTTAGCTTGCGGATCTTTTCCTGCGGCTTGTTGATTTAAGGCTGTTAGAAAATGCTCGCCCGCCTCTCTGTAACGTATTTGTTTTTATTGACAAAAAGTTATTATTATCTTTAGCATTCGAGAAAGAGTACGATAAGAAAATATATACTTACTTATATGCTTCAAGATTGATGCAAGATATGCCGAGATTGTAACGCGCTCTAATAAATCCCGGTGATAATTCTAAGGCACGATGGTACGCGTTTATAGCTTCCGCTGATCGCTGACCATTAGCCAGAGTGGCACCGAGTCTGTTCCATAATCTGGGATCCTTTCAGACAAGCGCATTCACAGATATGTGTGTCCGAACTAATTCATGAACGGAAATAAAAAATGGAAATCACACTTACATCAGGATGCACTTGTAACGCCGCTTGGAAACAATCGACAGCTTTGTCATACTCGTGGGACAAGTTGAACAACACACCTAGTCCGCACTGTACATCCGCATCTATTTCATTTCGCGGATTCATCCTTGCGGCTTGAATATATAGATTCTTCACTTCATCGTATACTTTGCTACAACGAAATAATTGTTTTTTATTTTTTAAATGTTCTATTTTATTTTAGAAATTTTTTAAGTCACTTACTCATATAACAAAGTGGATACGCTAAAAGTTATGTCTTCCTCTTTGGTTAAAGCAGATTGTGTATCTGCTAGATGCTTATATTTTTCGTTCTTCAGTAACCATTCTTTTAACGTAAGACAGGCTTGCTTATGATACGATTCGTTCGCATAAGAGGCGGCTAACGTCATGAGAGCAACGCCGTTCGAGGGTTCCAGACATAAGCAACGATTCAAGGCAGATATAGCCAAAGGATCTTGCTCGTTCTCAGCCTGTGTCTTGCCAAGAAGAAGCCAGGCTTCGGCATTGTTTTCATCTTGTTGAACTGCCGCCTCGAAACACAGCACCGCACTCGGTAAATCTCCCGCTTCCAATCGTTTTTTGCCCTCTTCCAGATTATTCAACAAGTCCTTCATGGGATTTGTCTCGCAAAATTGATATTCCTTGTTAAATGGATCGTAATATGTGTCAAACTCCGATACCCACGGATGTGAGGAAGAATCATCCATAGATATTTTGTCCCATTCGTCTTGGAACCGCTTCCATAATGCATCTAAATTATCTAAATTATTGACAAGTTAAAATTATATTAGATTATACATCATTCGAAAGCTCAAGAAAAAAAGTAAATACCTGCAGAAGGATTTTCTTTTACAAATTCGTCTACCCAAGTACCTGCTGCTCCTAATTCCTCTTCCACTTTGTTTAAATATTCTTCACCATTGTCAACAGTAGTACCATCATTTGTTTTCTGTTGTTGGTTTTCCGTGTGATACTGTTCTATCCATTCTGCGCTATCCAGACCAGCTAATTGAGTGCTCTCTATTGGAATGCCACCTTCTTGTTTCATAAATTTCATAAACTTCGAATGCGCAAAGTTTGGATCTTCATCTTTTTTGGTTTGAGCAATATCTTTACTGATATCTTGTACAGTGTCTATGTTACATTCTTGATAATCTTCTGCCCAGTTTGACGCTATGTCGTGAGACTCAAAAAACTTTGCGGTTTCTTTCTGAGCAGGTTGTACTACAGCTGTATTCCATATATCTTTTGCATGAAGTTCCTATATTTTATTTCAACAATTAAACGCATTTTTTTATTATAAATTATAAACAAATATACCTATATAACAAAAATATTTCATAAAATTACTTCAAACTCCTTGTTAGATTTAAGGCACAGATCTTCCCAAGCTGCATCCAAGTGAGTCAATTCTTGAACTACCCGAGGGGCTGCTACTGGAGGATGAATAGTGTGATCAATCTCTCGCATCTCCTGCAACAGGTTCTCCATTCGGAATGTCTGTGGACATGCAGGTTCCTGCAAAAATTCCTGAACAAACTGATCGGCATCTGGTTTTCCAAAAGTTTCTGATGTTAGATCAAATGGATGGCGAATTCCTTCCTCTTTAAATCCATGATCTTGCATATAATGTGATGCAAGGCGCATCAGTGAGTTGGGACCTCCGCACTCTCCTTCCACTAATTCTTGAAATGCCATTTTTATGTATTATTTGATTTCCTGCGTAAAGATACAAAGCATTTGTTAACTACTTCATCAATTTGCATATAAAGAAACATTATAACAATATAAGAAAAAGCACAGTAGTTTTAATCTTATAAAGACACATAAAAACATAAATTTTGAATGTACAGAATATGCCGCAAAAAATACTTAGAAACCGTACATAAAAACACTGTCTTATATGGTAACACAGTATAGACATTGTATGCAGTTTTCAAGTTTTGTATTACGTAAAACAAATTATTTACTGAAACAAAGATAGCCACAATTGTGCGTTTGATTATTTGTTGCTTCTAGCAAAAGAAAATATTATTAAAACGAAGTTTAACCTTAATCGGTTAATTCATTCTAATCACTTCGCAATTATTTTGTGGGCCACGTCAGTGCGTTGTTATTACACAGTATCAACACATCAAGATATATATGTTTATCAGGAACAATTTTTGCAACTGAGACTTTGTACCGAGTCAGTAGATAGGAAAAAAGATCGAGTGTGCAAATGAAAGATACATAAAACATACCAAGTTCAAGTGTAAAACTACCTTTCTTTTTTTCTTATTCTTAGTGTCACACTAACCGACTGATAAGAGAAAAAAAACGACTGAACAGTGCAGCCCAACTTTACTCTGAATATTATCTACATAAAACACATGTGTGTATATGCATGTCAAAGCCTCACAAGCTCACAAGCCTACCCCCCCTCAATGTTGCAATGGCACTGCTGGCTGGACTAAACCCTGCATAAAACTAAAAAAAACTGATATAAAGACAAATACAAGGGGTAAAGCCGAGAACACACGATAAAACTTAGGGTGCGATCATATGCAGTCCGAAAAAACGGAACGGAAAAAAGTGGGAAGTCGATCAGTCGCGAAGCCAATGAAAACGAGTTGTGGTGGGGAAGCAATCAATCAGAGCAGAGATGCTAAATCGTAACGTACAGCATCGAGAACATCGATGCGGGGGTGACTTTAGTCACGTGACAGGGAGGAGAGAAGAACCAACACGTGACTGAAGTCACGTGACCGGGAGGAGAGAAAAAACAACACACGTGACTAAAGTCACGTTACTTTTCTTCAATCACATTGTATGCGCGCATTTCCATTGATCGCAAGCGCAAACGCAAGGAATAGATCTCGTAGATTTGACCAATCACGCTGGTCAATTGGCTGATTTGATCAATACGATTAGTCAATTCTACCAGACCTGTTTCTTGCGTTTGCGTTTGCGATCAATGTAGAACAGGCTTAAGATTTGTGAAACGACTATGAATTCGGACCTCAGTCTTTTCTCCGCGAAGAGCAATGCGATCTTCGTTCGGCACGCTTGAAGATGGCGCTCAAGTAAACACATTTTATCGGTATTTGGGTGATTTTAGTTTTCGCGCTATATACCTGTTGTGTTGAAACACATCTTCCTGATATAACTCCCGATAAGTTTTTAAGAAAAAAAGTTGGAGAATCGCTTAGGATGCGGAAAATGGTTGATACGAGAGAATCGATCGAATGTGTTGCGACAACACTGAACGTAGTCAGCGGACTCGCGGAACGTGGACGAAAGTGAGAAAAGTTAGATTTTCCGTAGGAGCGAGAGCGAGCGCAATCGCGCCAGCCAGAGAGTGGATGAATGGAAGTGGTGGGCGGTTAGACAGTGGGCAGACGGCGCGCGAGTAAGAGAGAGCGAGCGCGTGTGACTTCCCTCAACGAGGAAATGTCGTCGGCACTCATGCCGCGACGGTGAAGTTAACGATCACAGCGAAACATGTCCAGTCCGATAATCAGTCGCGCGCAGACAGCCGACGACGGTGCTCGAACAGATGTACAGGTAATCTGTGCGATCTGCAACAAAACTGACAAGCTGCTTAGGTGCTCACGCTGCAAGGCCGTGTTTTACTGCACGAAGGAGCATCAGAGACGCGACTGGAAACGTCACAGAGAGTTTTGCGCGACTCATCCCGCGGAAGAGCCCCTCTCCGCTGCGAACAAGAATTTCAATCGCCAAATCCCATCCAACAAACACAATCCCTCGCCCGGCAATCGCAGAACTCCGAGCGCGCCAGTTTCTAACCTGACCGAGCACCCCAACGTCTTGGATGCATCGGACGTCGCTATTGAACCGAACAATCGGAAAGCGAAGCATTTCACAGGTGCGTGGATTGTTTTTTTTTTTTTTTTTTTTATTTTACTTTGCCGGAACTTTACCGCCAACATGGAAAATATTTTGACAGTATTGCGCAGTAAAAATTACAATAAATCTTGTTGCCGATAACTTTGCGATATAAATAGCTAGCTCTCTATTCTGATTGCGTGCTTTCACGTTGTATTGTTAGATACTTACAAATCGCAGCCAAAGATGTTTCTTGAACCACGATGTTTATATATAGAACACTTTCTGTGTGTCCAAAAAAATTTATTATATGTAACCTAATAGTTTGTATATACAAGTTATATATACAAGCATGTGTATGTTGACTTACAGACATAATAGTTAATCTTTTCCGATTACAGAGTCTATCACACAAGGAGAGAACAAATCAAAACAAGAGCAAAAAAAGAATCACAATCTTAAGAAAAAAACAACAAACAGCGGGAAAACCAGAAATTCACACAACACAGCCGATGAGTGGACCTTGCCAATAACGTACGAAGGTAGTTCGGAAGATACTATATTAGAAGCTAATGCCGAGCTTCTAAATCCCTCCTTGGAAAGCTCGAAAATTTTGTACAGTTTGAACGACACCGATCTTGGCTTGTCCACTCATAACGACATGAAAAACTTAGCGGTGCCAAGATTAGGCCAGGAAGAAGAATTTTCACCTCCGTTTCTACATAGAAATAATCTCGAAGAGTTTATAAACAAAATTTGCCAATATGTGATAAGAGACATGAACGAGTACGGTGTATGTGTGGTGGACAAGTTTTTAGGCAAGGAGAAGGGTCTTGCGGTGCTAAATGAGGTTTTAGACATGTACAGTGCGGGTTTATTTAAGGATGGACAATTGGTTTCTAATAAAGCTAGTGCAAATGATCTAAAAACAATTCGTGGTGATCAAATAATATGGCTGGATGGCAAGGAACAACAGTGTCAAAACATTGGCATGTTAATATCGCAAGTGGATGCCATCATCATGCGAGCTAACAAAATGCACAACAATGGGAAAATAGGAAACTATACGATCACCGGAAGAACAAAAGTGAGTATGTTCTCTGATTTTGACATTTTTTATTAATTATATAAAATTCCAAAAGTATATATAAAAATAATTTAAATGTAAATCGTAACACGCATATAAAGGTTATAAATATATATTTGTGTGTATTATTTGTGTATACATATTTATATGTATTTTTAGATTTTAGTCTATGTATGTGAGTGTATATGTATATAGTTTTCAATAGTTGATTAGATCAACTAGAATTTTCAAGTTTTTGTTGTGCTAAACACTTCGAACATGTGATCGCACGTATCCCATCTTTAATTGAAAAATAATTTAAGACTGTCGCAGCTCACGTTACATGTTCGCACAACGCGACTTCTTGTTTAGAAATCAAGCTAGTGTTTATTGTTGTTGTATTTATGTAATCGGGGGGGAGCGGAGAAAAAAATAAGATACGTCAAATATAAAATTTACAAATTGTCGAGAATGACGCGATAATAGATAAAATAAATTTGTTGAGATAAGCGCGATGGGCAAGGCCAAGATTCCAAAAATTGTAATGATCTTGTGCGAGGAAGTTATATGTACCGAAAGTAAGAGGAGAGTGGGAAGGAGAACGCGTAGTGCAGTCAGTCACGTACGCCTCGCGACTCCGTGCGTCTCACCCTCTTCCTCTACTACTTTCGCACGGCCGCAACGCAATATTACACAATTTGTTTCACTCCGCCTAAACGTACGCGTTTGGCTCTTCGATCGCATCGATTTTTCTACTGATATCTTTTTGATAAAAGGAATCTTGCTTAAAATTTCTTTTTTTTGTTTCTCATCATTCGTCGATTAAAAAAAAATATCGGTTTTATAACGCGCGTAACAGTCGCGCAATAACAAAAATAAATCATCTACACACAAATTTCCGGTAGCAAATTATAAAATGTAAAAACGATCAGAATATAGGTATATGTGTATTTAAAATCCAATTTAAATAACATTCATTTTTAACATCGCAGTGTCATTTTTATAACTGTTTTACGCATGTCCCATTGAATCATTTCTTGTTTTATCAACAGGATATTTCTCACATTCGCACATTGTGCTCAACAACGAGTTTAACAATTACTCGCCATAGTCGCTATCATTTGACTTTCGTGTGTGATTTATCAATGTTTATTTTTAGCTAGATACTCGGTTGCTCACAATGAAACAAGAACAGATACATCGCTTTGTTTTTTTGCGTCAATATGTTTAATTTGCTAAACATCTCACTTTGCCGTCTTGCTATCTCTTTTTTGCAGTTGTATTGTAATTTGCACGTGCGCACCAATACTTACACAATAATATGAGCATATCTGAAACTTAATCTTTGTGTGTATTTGTATGCGTACAGATGTTTTCGTTATCGTCGGAGATACGCAAAATCGTTTTTTTTATGACTTAAAAAATAGAAAGATAAAAAAAAGAACAATGTCCGGCTAATCTTTTGTGTCAAAGAAATTCCAACGATAAGTATCGGCTTGTTTGAGTGGCAATTTTGTTTTAATTTGAAGACCGCGTTCAAGGTGAAAGAGAAGAACGTTTTTACACTTGCTTTTTTTTTTCAAAGAGAATATTAAGGAGAGAATTAGAATATAAAAAACTTATAAAAATTTATTTATTTCAATATCGTCATCTAACGATATAATCAAACTGTGTTATCGGAAAACAAAAATTTGTAGATGCGGTAAAGCAACACGTTTCTCGAACGTGGATTATTAGCCAATCAGCTAACAAGCGATAGTAACATATCGCTTGATAATCGGGCAAGATAAAAAGAAATGTGAAATACAAAATATTCTGTTCGTCGATGACCACTTTATTACGACTGCTGCATTCCAACGATATGACAAATACGCATTTTTATAAGCAGCTTCTTCCTTCTTTTCTCCTACTGCAAAAATTAGCTTGTATATATAAATATACATGTGGACATGTTTAGTATAAAAATATATAAATATATATTATATAAATATATATATACATGTATTTCTAGTACATGATACTACAATTTGTAATAGTATAATTACACAATAGCATAATTTTAATATAAATACAACAGTAACAATAAATAGTAACAGTATAATTAATACACACGATTGTATAAATTTTCTTATGTACAAATCAAGTCTAAAAAAAAATAAAAATTCAGAAAAGTATATACATTGTTCTTTCAATAAAATCTTTTTTCCTTCTAGGCAATGGTGGCTTGTTATCCTGGTCATGGTTCGCACTACGTGAAACACGTAGACAATCCTAATCAAGATGGACGTTGTATCACAGCCATTTACTATCTTAATTGCGACTGGGATGTAAAGGTGCATATAAATAAATATGCACATGCAGTAACGCGTTTTTAAACGCATACTGTGTTTATGACATTTAAATACGTTTCTAAGCACATGTAAATACGAATAACAAAGATGAATAACAAAAATATCAATTTTTTTTTCTTTATCGCATACAGGAAAATGGTGGACTTCTGAGGATATTTCCCGAAGGATGGCAGGATCAAGTGGCGGATATCGAACCTCTATTCGACAGAATATTATTTTTCTGGTCTGACAGACGGAATCCGCACGAGGTACAACCGGCGTATAAAACGAGATACGCCATTACGCTCTGGTATTTTGACGCCGAAGAAAGAAATCAAGCTTGCCGAAGGTATCAAAAAGAAAGTGCGTAAGCAATCGCATGAATAGTTTCTGTTATTTGTCATTTCTTTTGTATATATGTGTACATATATATGTAGATATATATATATATCTATATAACAAGTCGATTCCAGTTATTTGTGCCGGGTATCATAGTGATCCTTTGCATTTTGTATCTCACAAACTGTACAAAATATATGTGAAAAACACATGTATTACATGTAAATCACTTTTCGAAGAACTACATAGAAAGAATATAATAGTTCGTGAGAATAGAGTGTAATGTACCACTACGCCGTCCGATTTTTTTTTCCTTTTTTTTGTTTGAAATTACATGTGTACACACACACATAAGCACATAGACAAAACTATGTATTATTATTACGTATCACGATAATTTCTTTCCAGGAGGAATTGAATAGCGTACGAAGAAACTTACTGACAAACATGCGTGCTTTATAAGGAAGTGCAATAGATGTAAGAGCGTACTATTATTTTTTTCCTCTTTACAGATGGCACTGTAATATATGTGATGAGTTGATGTGTGTAATTGTTGCAATTCACTCATATGTATATTTGTTCCTTTCTATTTCTGAGATTCTATACGTTTGCACTTTGTAAGCTGAATAATTAAGATACGTCAAGAGTCATTGCTTCCTACTTCTACCACCACTACCATTTGAAAAAAAAAAGAAAACTTGCAATTCTGTCGACTTTACCTTTCGTTATGTAAAACAAAAAAACAAAAAAAAAAAAAACAAACAAAGTATTAACAATCACCATAGAATCTTAACGCGAGCATGCATTTGAAATATTTTAAGTCGAAATCCTAAATGTGTAACATACGAGAATAAATTTCTTCCAGGAGTTTGCGAGAAAACAAGTAAACCTCGATTGTAATTCAAAGTCTACATTTTATAAATGTTCTTATGGCGACACATGTCTTAGAAATTATTAACACAACTAGTTATTACAAGAGAAATTATATTGCTCATACACAAAGTGTAATGTTAGTATTATCATGTTATTTGTAATGTTATGATTAAACATTGACGACTTTTTACGCTTACACACAAGAATGTCACGTTTGATTTTACCACGGCCAGTAATTGACTTATATGCTTCCAGAGAAAGAAACGAATTGAGAGAGACAAAATCGGGGAGGATGGAAGAATCAGTTTGTGTGTATTTTTGCGAATCTCGCGGAGAGTTTGCGGTTTCCACAAAGAGTAATACTCACGAGATTACTTAAATACAGTATTTTTATTTTAACAAAACGTGAGTGCAACACAATCCGCGAATTTCAATACGAATTTTCATGAGAGCAGGAGCCGTGCAGTCTTTGCTCTTGTGAAAATTTGTATTGAAATTCGCGGATCGTATTCACGTTTTGTTAAAATAAAATTACTTTATTCACAGTGATCTCGTGAGTGTTTCTCTTTGGAAATCGCGAGTATATGTGCGCGCGTGGATGCGTGTGTGTGTGTGTTGTATAATGTTATGTACATTGCAAAAAGAAAGGAACACTGTGTTTTAATATGTATCTATTTATACGACTATTATAAGTAGATATCATATGTATCTATTTATAATTGATAGGAAAAATTCTTTCAGTATCATTGGTGTCCTATTCAGAGAGTCTGAGATATAAGATTTTATTATTAGTTATTCTCTGAACATAGCAAAGCACGCCAAGTTACGGACACAATTTAGAGAAAGATATTCGCGATAAAAATTGTCCTATTCTCTCAAAGTAAATTATCCCTGAATTACATTTTTCACCGTATTGTTAGACCTGACTAATTGTAAAAATTTCTCCAGTAGTTTTCGTTTCGTGTGATTATTAAATTATTTTTATCTCTTAGGCTTAAATTTACTTTGTCTTTTTTGCGTCTTACGTAGAGAGTATTAAAAATTACCATTCAAACGCGATGTTTCCGACACGTTTTTAAAGTATTGTAAAACCGAACCGAAGGATTTTGTTATCAGAGCAAAATAAATGTAAAATAAACTCACAAAAGATTTTCACGTATATACATTAGTGATAATAATATCCAAAATTATATAGATTTATTTACACAAAACAGTTGTTGATATTTTCTTCATACTTATCTTTTTTCTCACCCTAAGAAACATCGGTGTCGCTTGGAAGTTGACAGTCTTGAACCTGATTGATCGCAGGAACATAAGCTTGAAACGAGAAATTGTTTTTGGAAAACATTCCCGGATTTATCACATAGCAGTCGGAATGGTTGGTCGTGTATGATTCAAAATTGTCGGCGATCACAATAAGATCTGGTGTTGGAAATATTTGTAAAGCGTGATTATATTTCCAGTATATCGGAACGACCTGAAGAGGTACAGGAGTCAAGTGCGACTGACTGATAATGGCTTTGGCAAACTGCAAGATTCCACCAATATTGACGTTACCGATATATCTCTTTTACAATAAAGTCGTACGTAATTTATACTTACATGTTTGAAGAAGTTTTCCTCTTTCGGAAAACGAAGCGCATTCCTGCACATTTTTGTCAGCATGTCTTCTCTCAACACCACGATCTCTTTCGTACAATACTGTATTCTACACGGGTTTGTGGTAAAGATAGCGTTCGGTATTTCTTTCGTCACTTCTTCGACGATGCATTTGGGCAGAGAAGGCTTCGGCAAAATATTAGGGGAGCCCAAATCTTGCGGACCGGGTACAAAAACAAACTTTGACGATTCTTTTATCACCTCATAGTTTGTTATCATGTCAACTAGATTTTTGAAACCCGTTATCAAAGCTTGCGCGCTCGTTACATTTGTAGGAAAGCTCAAAAAGTGACCACACAATACAAAAGCTACAGGAGGGTAGTCCATGTAGCCTTCTAGAACAGTTTTGAATTTTTGCAGAACGGTTGGAATATCCAACCATAATTCTGCTATGAAAACTATCATTCCGTCCTGGTTGGTCTCTTCGTGAACTTGTAACTTTTCCGACATTTTCAGCGACAAATTGTGCGGTCCGCCAAACGTATTACTATCGCCGAAATCTGATCTCGAGCTCTCCGATAATTCTATCGGCGGAAAACTGATCGTTTTCACATGTAACGTATTATCTTTATAAATTCCGTTAACTATTATTATGCAACCTTCCATGATAAATGTATCCTGAAAATCGTATTCCTATATAATAAGGAAAATAACAATTGATTAGTTGAAACACCATCAAATCAAACAATAAAATCTAATAATTAATAAATGTATATCATAAAGGATATTGTATCGGTGAGGTCAATTTTAACAGTTCCACTTGTATCTTCCAAGTAATATTGATCTTCTGTTAATTGTGTTATCATACCCATGACACACACATTGCCCATTCTTAGTTCACTCAATAAATATTCAATAGGTATCAAATCTATCTTGTCCATTTGTTGTTTCTCAAACTTGGAAAATTGAAACTGTTTGTGTCTCAAAGTTTTATACCACAGTACTTCAAAACGATCTTTAAATATCAACGATTTATATTCTGCCTCAGAATATAAACTCTCATTATCGATAACAAACTTCTTCTTGCTGATATCGTACTTTATTCTAGGTATATCATATCCATTTATAACGTTAAATACTGTTTCTGTGTCTTTTAACTTGGTTGGCTCCATCCACTCTTCTATAGCAAGTTTTAAATGTTCGGCATCAACATGCGGACTGTTCAGATTTTGGGCCAAAATCAACTCTATAATGCGAGTGAGCCAAGATTCGCGTTCTTCTTCTGATATCTTTACCAAGTGTTTTGCTAAAGATACCCTGAGTTCTCTAGAGACACAATAAGTATAAATAATAAAAATAGATGTGATAATAATAATAATTGAATATATTATATATAAAAATAAAAGAGTTTTATATAAAATACATTGTTTACTTCTTTATATTTCAATTATTTATACAGAATTCTGTTTGAATATCTCTTGGTAGATATGTCACAACGTATATATCTTGAAAGGAAGAGTAATTTACCTTGGTAATACAAGACCGTATAAAGAAAAGTTTGTTTGAATCATTTGTAAACATTTGCTCTCTGCCATTATCCAATCTATGTTATACAAGAATATATTATAATCAAACAAACGTTAATTAAGTTTAGTCACTAAAAACCAGTCAGTCACAGGAAAGGTGGGTTATCCCCACACATATAACTGGCATATGCGTGTCTCCTTTATGTCCTCTGAGCCGTTACAACATTGAATTGAAAAACACCAGTTTGTACATATTTTCAATCGATGAGGTTAATCGCGATTTTTCGTTCTTCAATATTTTCCCGCCTTCAAATCTAACCCTAACAATGGGTGTGTTTAGCCGAAGCTAGCGCTACGTAGCGCTACGTAGCGGCTTCATGTAGCAGTTGCAATTGCTGCGTTACTTCTGCTGGACAGTATGGCTACGCGTAGCATGTTCTAAGTAGTGGCCGCCATTTACAATAATACCGTCTCAATTATAATACTTTGACACTTTTTTTGCCATTTTTATAAATAATTAAAAAACACAGCTTAGCAACCGAAGAATACAACGGCGATTTGTATACAAACATATTTGCGCTTACAAAAAGCGCTGCGCGTAGCACTACTGTCCAGCAGAAGTAACGCAGCAATTGCAACTGCTACATGAAGCCGCTACGTAGCGCTACGTAGCGCTAGCTTCGGCTAAACACACCCAATTTTATCGCCAATTGTACGACGATCGCGAGCATAGGCTTGCGTCCACAATCGCATGTCAGGTCCGGCAAATCGACCAATGCGACAAAACATTGTAAACTTGACTTACGCTCGCGAACGTTGCGAGTGCCAAGTGGAACTTAATCTTTGTATACACAGAGAGAAACCTGAGAGCGGCCATCCTAATGTAATTTTTTACGACGGTTTCAGCCGCCGGTTTTAGCCGTATTTCCACAAAAGTGGAACTCAAAGGCCGTTCTACATTAAACGCAAGTAGCAGATCTCGTGGAATTGACCAATTGCAGAGTC